AGATTCTTTTTCATTATTGGTCTTGATTTGAAAATGTTTAAACTCTTTATATTTTTAGAGTTTGAAACACTAATTCGCGAATTTCTTTAACCAGTTAATTAATTTTTGTAGTGATTGTCCTATTTAATAGACAGAAAGAGAATCCGTTGCATTCTAATTTTATTTATATAAACAAATCGCTTGTGTTTAATCGAAAACATCAAAATGAATCGTATCGTCGGATCTGTTTGTGTGCACGGCCACGATCATGACCGCGCTGACATTTATTTACATTTACATTTACATTTACGGTTAAAAAAATCATAGAATTTCTTTTTTAAAAAGCGGTTCCAATAATTCTAAAGAACTCTGATTATAAAAAGCTGACTAATAATATTACGATAATGTAATAAATAATAACGATAGAAATAGTGTGATACATATATTGACTATATAATTTATGATACAATATATATTTTTTTTTGTAAAATTCAGAATTTTATTTTGTTGAATTCGTTTTTTTTTTACTTTTAATTTTTGTAAATTCGTCAATTCTATCACTATTATATAAATTCTATATCAAAACCTGTATTTATTATGAATTAAATCGGTTTTGTTCTTATTCCCCGCTGTTCTGACGATCTAAATAAAAAACCACGGACATGATATTAATTATTTGGTACTAGTAGGTTAACTGATACTATTCCTATTAAGGAAAATTATTGTTTGAAATAATAGAGAATGAAACATGTCGTTCGTCGTTGTTAACATATGCATAAATATGATAACATACAGATACAATTAAATAAATATATGCATTAAATATCATTAAATTTAAGAAAAAAAGTATCTTTGGTCAAATTGTAAATTATTATTTTAATTATTTTGTCTAATTAACAATATTTTTTTCCTTCACTAGCAAAAGTTTTTAATTGGTGGTAAAATTTTAGCAGTTATAACAAGTTTCCTATATCTCGTGACTTGTACACTGGTACACATGGTGATGACGACAAATGATTTTAGTAGGACAAATTTTTAATTGGGTAACATAGGCCTAATAAATTAAGGATACACAGACTAAAATTAAGTTTATTGTGCTAATTCATAATTTGGGAATATGTATAAACAAAGAAATATCATCTCGAGGCAAAAAGGTTAGTTTTTGATATTAATTATCTATTATTCTTATATTTTTATATAGACAATCATTATGATCAAATCAATGGACGTGTTGGATGTTGTTGATCTATTACTCTATTACACAACAACCCCCAGGTTGAAACAACCTATATTTAGGAAGTTCATTTTTGATTTATTGAATATCGTTGAATGTATTTTTAGAAATTTCGGATTTTCGCGTTTTGTGTATAATTAACACAAGTCAAACACAAACCTCGATAAGCGATATGCCGAACTTTTGGGAATCACAAAAATTCGGTTTATGATGATTTACAATTAGTGTTATTTTATTATCACTATTCGCCGCGTGTAAAAAATGCATGTGTGACTGATTTGGTTAACCAATTTGCGAAAATCGGTTTATAGTGGTTCGGCTTATCGAGGTTTAACTATATATAGTACTACTATTTATTTTTACAAATTTTAAGGCACTGGGCAAAAGTCATAACAATTGAAATTTAAACTATCCATTTTTAAAAAACTATCATTAAAGATTACCAACTTGATAAATTTAATACGTTATTTTGAAAATTTAGGGCAACTATCTATATAGGTCCTGTTGTTGTATGTAGATCAAGATGAAAAAGCCAAAGAAATTTACCAAGATTTTTTCTTACCTCTCCAATTATATATATATAAGGCTATTAATAATATTATAATTACATTATATTTTAAAGAAAATAAAGGCAATAAGTTTTCTAGAATCCTCCCATCTAACCCCCAATTTTAGTATCAGAAGATTATCATTATTATGTGTTAAAGAAATCAATGTCATCATGATTGTTGATTTGAATATCTTTTATTTCCTGAAAATGTCTAGTAACATCTTTATCGTCAACTACTATTTATTTTTACAAATTTTAAGGCACTGGGCAAAAGTCATAACAATTGAAATTTAAACTATCCATTTTTAAAAAACTATCATTAAAGATTACCAACTTGATAAATTTAATACGTTATTTTGAAAATTTAGGGCAACTATCTATATAGGTCCTGTTGTTGTATGTAGATCAAGATGAAAAAGCCAAAGAAATTTACCAAGATTTTTTCTTACCTCTCCAATTATATATATATAAGGCTATTAATAATATTATAATTACATTATATTTTAAAGAAAATAAAGGCAATAAGTTTTCTAGAATCCTCCCATCTAACCCCCAATTTTAGTATCAGAAGATTATCATTATTATGTGTTAAAGAAATCAATGTCATCATGATTGTTGATTTGAATATCTTTTATTTCCTGAAAATGTCTAGTAACATCTTTATCGTCATGATCCTTTTCTTCTTCACTAATGCTGATATTTGCTAGAATTTCTAGAATTTCATTTTCTAAATTTTCAATTAGCACTTTTCCAAGTTTCTTTCCAATTTGCCATTGTTGATACATCGGTTCCATAATCAATGCTTGTTCAAAATTGAAAATATTCTCGTGAATACATTGATCTTTTTTATCATACAATACTTTATTAGCCCATTCAAACCATGCACATTTTGGTCTTGCTCCTGGTATCTATAGGAAAAATTTTTTTAAATAACCACATATAACATTTATCATTAAATGTGTTCCATGTATATGTTACCTGATAACTTGCACATGACATAAACCATTTTCCCTTATTATGCCGTCTAATAATTCTTCTCAAAACTATTGGTTTGCCGCAATAACATCTTGGTACAGCGGGTATATTGATAGGAAATTCAGTTATGGTATTAAAGATTACACAAAAAGTAAAATTGAAAAAGGGACAAGTGTTTAGTTCAGGATGATTGTTATTCAATGATTCTCCTCGACACATTTCATTCCATATTGGCTGATGTACATGAAAAGCACAAATTTTATTTTCCTTTGATTTACTACAATCAGACCCGTCATCACCATCATTATCCATAGTTTCGGTAGTAGATGGATTGTATAGAACGTCTTTTTCTTCAACAGTTTCCTAAATAAATAATCCCTTCTTTTTAAATTCAATGAATGAACATACAATTCCTTACATATAAATAGAAAAGGGCGCGTTTCTTACCCTTTCAGATAAGTTGGAAACCGTTTGCATGTTCTTTTTATTTTCATTATCGTATTCAAGTATTCTG